GATGATGATGATGATGATGATGATGATGATGATGATGATGATGATGATGATGATGATGATGATGATGATGATGATGATGATGATGATGATGATGTATTCCATTTTCGTTTCTATACTCATACCGAGTCACCCTTCTCACTGGAACCCAAAGTGAACTTCGCACTTTTATTGATACACAACTTTCCCAAGGGAACTACAAAGTATGGGTTCTTACCGCAATGGTATGCCGCGAAATTACCGGGTCACCAGGTAGAAATATTCTGCATAAACTGGGGCTGCCAAGTATCAACACTTTAAAGCCGTTGTCCCAGTAAACTATCACAGTGACCTCGTGTTAACCCTGTCTCCATGAGCTCATATAGAATTTTTACCAGGAATGCTTGTGAAGCCAGAAGTGCACTGCATCTAGAAAGGACAGACTTTATTCTAACCAGCTCTCACTGGCCCACGAGCCTGACTGCCTTGTTGCAGCACGCCTATAGATAGAACCGAAAGGCAGCCAGCTGTAACGAAAGCCAAACGTTTACCCAGCACTATTTATTCAGTTTCGGAAGTATCTGAAACGTCGACTGCGAAGCACCTGACGGATGTATCGGTGAGTCAGGCACGTCATCATTCAGTCGTTGATCGAAGACTGCTGTTGTGGTGAGCTGAAGTAGGGGATATGGCTCAGAAGTTACAGCGTGAATTTACTCACCAGAAGGTGCGTGGTTCTTACTCGACCCCTGACTGTTGATTTCCTTCTGTCTAGGCATGGGCCACCTGGCAGTATCCCAGCCCTCGTGCTCCCTTCTGGTGGTATGGTAGCTAGGCACTGAAAGAGGGTTGCAGCTGAAANATTTACTCACCAGAAGGTGCGTGGTTCTTACTCGACCCCTGACTGTTGATTTCCTTCTGTCTAGGCATGGGCCACCTGGCAGTATCCCAGCCCTCGTGCTCCCTTCGGGTGGTATGGTAGCTAGGCACTGAAAGAGTGTTGCAGCTGAAAAATTCCATTTTGATTTTTCTTTTCGTCGCCTAATCCACGTGGTGAGCTGAGGCTGCAAACGTCTGTTGGCTAAAACCTGGTATATGTGTATGGTAGAGTCAGTTGTCACACCCTACCCCCCCAGTTCTGCAACCCTCCTAGACTACCCCTATCGAAATCAGTTATACTCATCTACTTTCTCACACCGTGTAGTAATCATGCGTCAATGCGCGAAGTACGCTCGTTTGTAAACTAATTTGATTTTAATGGAAGACTCGGCTGAACTCCAATGAAATCCCCAGTTTTTATATTCTTCGGCTAAATGTGCTGCACAAACGCCTCACGCTTCAGTTGGCACTGTATTTGAGATATCGCACTGTATTTTTTTGTGGGGGCATTACTCATCAGGTTGTTGAAAATCCTTCGACAGCCCACTATCGGTTTCGCGCTTCTTCAGGCTCGTCAAGTAATCACAGTCCCCGAGTCTACGTCAGCTTTTTGTTCTACTTGGACTGAAATTATACGCCTTTCGCGAAGCCTCCATTTACAAAATAATTCAGTTTATCGGGCGACTCAACTGAATCTAAGCTGAATCGCTCTTTTATGATGGGGGTATTTCTCGAATCACGTACAGTTTGGTTTCCAGCAGAAGGTAAAAAGATCGCTCAGCTGTAGCACTTTTTCGGTGCATGATGCCATGCCATCCGTAGGAAACACAAGAGCTGGGATACTGTCAAGTTGCCCAAGCCCAGGGGAAGTCGAGATACAAAAATTGGGTTCGAATCATGGACTTTCTGGTTAGTGAAATCGTGCTCTAATCACTGAACCATTTCGCCCCCTAGTCACAGAACATGAAGTTGACGGGAACTCGGAAACTGTCTACCTGATGAGCCAGATGAAGGATGAAGCTAGTAGTGGCTTATTGAGGATTTGTCAGCGCCCTTATGAGTAGCTTTGCCGTCAATAAAGCTTTATGTTGACCACATTTGATCTCTATTCCACGTTTGGATGTGTAGATGCTTCGGGTGCTTAGTTTGTTTTGGGTTGCCTTTTGGGGGGGGGGGGGGGGGGATAATTCTTCGGAGGCTTTTTCAGCTGAATTTTACCTCAGACATTGTAAATACCGTATAGCTGCATAGACTTGTTCGATCCGCACAAACCTTAGCAACAGACCATTATTATTTTAACGCTCTACGTTCCTCATCTGCATGGGGTTGGCTTGGTGACATTTTGTTAAAAATTTTCCTTATGAGCGGTGCTACATGGGTGACCTTGCTTAGTTGCAATGGGACCACTTCGATCAACTGCAATGTATGTTTACTCATAGGCTGGAGGATTTTGTTACTATCCAAACCAAATCCTTCAGCTGCAGTCGTGCACTGTTATTCGGTCTGGATTCGCTTATAAACCTGTTAAAGTTTACTTTGGATGGCGTCGCCTGAAGTAAGGAGTGTTCTCTTTATTGTTCCCCCCTCCCATTAGTTTGTTCTGACCACTATATTTTTCTCTGTAGTGATGAAGAAGTGGAATGTGAAGACATTTTGATGTACCTGTCCATCTCCCCTGAAGTTGACAATCCCGATGACCTTTCCGGCGGTGAGGATCAAGGTGAACTTCTAAGTTCAGGTGCTGGAGTTAAAAAACGGGCCGATTCCCCCTCAGGTCGATCGTCTGAACCTCCTAACAAACAAATGAAACGCAAAGAACAATGTAACGCTCCTGTCGCACCGACGATTAATATCAATCTTCCTGGTTCTCACACGGACGAGGTAAATGGCTGGCCATTTTGGTGCTCCGGTTCCCTAATTTCCACGCATTATGTTGTTTTACAGCTCCTGTTTACGAATTTTTTAACATCTTGGAATAGCTATTGGTGAGGAGTTTTCACAGTTGGTTCGCCTGAGTGGGATCGGGGCACCAGTATGCCTTTGAAAACTTTATCTTTACAAGGCTAAGTCGGCATGAAATGTCTCCATTCGCTGCTACCAATTTCTGTGACCACCATTAAAGTCTAGGGAAAAAATCCTTCAGTTTTCATGCCACTGCTTGATTTTCAAGATGATATGGGGACTCGGAAGTTCGACCTCACCCCTTACTGGTGAGAGCCGGATTTACATCTGCCTTTCGGGGCTACTGCGACGTTCTGAGCAGGGTGGTAGCGTCAGGGTAAAGAATCCGTTTTGCTTGTAAGCCACTGTAGTCCGTGTCGCCGATTCAATCCACAAAGGCGTGCAATGTCGCAACGTCTCCCTTCAGTACATGAGGCCATTCTCTTTCAATGCTTCTATGATTTCCCTCACCTAATCGTAATCAAGTTAGCTTAGTGTACTGAGGTATCAATCAGGTCTCTGGAAAATTGTGTGATCGTATCGGCCAGGTCGCATGGGCAGTTAACGACAGGCCGAGGAAGTGGGGCTTCAGCAGAATCACGGGATTTCGATATTATAGGGATGTTGCAATTCAGAAGTACCAGCAACAGAATCACCAAGTTGTCACCGCCGTGTTTTTGTAATAGGGAGGCTGTGTAAGATTTTAACTGTCAGCCATTGGCACAATTTCACCAAGTAAACTTGTTTCAGTCATTGTTCATTTTGATCAAGCCGTTCAGACACCGAAATACCGTTCCTTCTGTGGCTTTAACTAGACTGATACGGATACATCGAATTACCCCAAGGCTTAGGGCGTGAGCTGCTGAGTGGAGCTCCATTTTCAAGACCCTTCCCAAACTTTATAGTTCTGGGCATGGGATGCCTGATCTCAGTCCAGATGCTTCGTTTGGCATGACAGTTGTGCGACGCAGAGGTGCTACGGGTGAGCAGCTTAATCTGATTTGACTTACCAAAACATCCAAACAGAGGAGCTGTTCTACCCGATCGACCATGGTACCTTTTATGAAACATAAGCACAAATTTAGCATGGTTGATTCAGAATTTATTCTTAATCAACAGAAAGGGATATTGTTGCACAGTCGTCCTCAACCCATACGAAACTGATCGCCTCAGTTGACTATGCTAAATGCTTTTGGAAACTTTCCCTGGCAATCTCTTTAAGAAAAATAGCCTCGGAATGTTTATTGCTCTTCAGGACTTTTATTCTATTCGGATTAATAGAAAGTTCAATCACAGACAATAGTAATATCATCAGAGAGCTCATCCGAAGAGAGACTCAACCGTTGAAAGATGCTTCAAGATATCGATGAAAAGTGGTTTCCTGTTTTTTTTCCAACTAGTAATAATAGTGATGCTACTACTGATAATAGCATTATCAATGGTATTCAAATAACATCACACAGGATTTGCCCAATCTCGCCCCGTAGAAACCAGGGACACTGCTAAAAGGCACAGAACACAAACCCACGAGGCCTTAAAACTTTCTCAAAGGGCGATGTTTCTCAACGACGGATTGTTCTAATTACAGTTCTTTGGTATTCACGTTGACTCCCAAGCTTGTAGTTGGACGCACTCAAGTTCCTCGCTTGTTCTAGTATTGATTTCCACAAAAATGTATGGTGAAGTGTCGGTACTGTGACTCTCGATGCCAGGCCACTGGGCCCTGAATCATTTCAGAAGCAAATATCGGTGTATGGGAAAAGTCAATAGCTCTTCTTTTAATATTTGCACACTATCGACTCTACTATATTTGAGATACGCGCTTTGATTACTTTCGGATATTAGAACGAGTATTTTCAATACCCCCTAAAGAAGAGGTATCCCGTATTCTTGCACTTTTTGGGCTTTTATTCTACACGTTTGCACACGCCTCTCATGATTGACAGGTCCATCCGCTTGTGGGCAATCGCCGACCGTCTTCGAAATCCCTGCTTTCTGACGCAAACAAACAGGGTTCTGCCACAGGTGGTTCTTTGTCGTCCGGTCTGGGTCACAATGGAGGCAGCTCACGAAAAGCAGGGACGCGCCAACGAGATCGGGCCAAGTCACGAAAATAGAAACTCTCTTTTGCGCCTTTCTGGAAACAGTTCGTCCCCATCCACAACCATTTTAATCTTGTACATACCTCACCATTTGTTCCAATCCGATGTTATTATCATATCGATTTAATCTGTCACCAACGTACGACCACTTGTTTTTCTTTCAATTCGTCACTAAGACGTGCTTGCACACGAGTGTTTGTCGGTTACTTGGGTTCCTTCGGTTTACTGGAGGTATTCTTCCAGACAACCAGCTTTTCTATCCTCTGCGCAGTTCTTCCTGTAACCCAAGGTTTAGGCACAGGAATGCAAACAGCCATACTTGTTCGTCCAGTTCAAAGGAAGCCACCAAAAGAAAGCATGAGGGCTGGGATACTGCCAGGTTGCCCAAGCATAGACAAGGGATGTCGAGAGGCAGATGTCGGGTCCGGTGAATAAATTCGCGCTCTAACCTCAGCCATCTCACCCCCTGTTCATGCACTCATCTGTAACTTCAAGTGATTTCCCCTTCGTCTTACGTCGTCGGTAGTCAGATGCTGTGGTGATCAGGACCACGGTGTGCAAGCACTCAGTGAACTCGTGGGTAACTGAACTTGGCGAAACTATTCTCTGGATGATAAACCACAGATCTCAGTCGAGTATTCATTCCAGAATATGCCAAATATCGGCTGCAGTTTGGATTACAGGATTGCTTCTTGTGTGGTGTGTCTTTGTGTCTTTAGAGTTAACGTAATGTATGTGGAGATCAACCACGAAAATCCCGACAAGCACTCGTCTCGGAAGTAATCGGATTTTTTTGGTTAGTGCAGCTACTGTTGGGGGCGTTCCATTCTATCGTGTTTGATCACAGCCCTCAGAGCCGAACTGTAGCGTAGCCAGTTGCAGTTTTTTCTGGAGTCTTTCGTAAAGTGGAAGGATGACGGGAAGAAACGAATCACTTGACTACTGTCTCATTCACACTGAAGACCATGGGCAAAGTCCGTCTTACAAACCCTGTGTGTCACTCGAACCTTTGTTACGTGAATACGAGAATTAGTTTGGTTTTAATAGCTGTCGCTGAAGCCTTGACATATGGTGCTTACATTTTAGTGTCGAATCGGTCGAGCGACCCTGCGAATTAGTTCTTATGAAATAGTGTTAAGTTGGGAGCCACAGAGTATTTGACAAACCATCATTGACAGCAACACTGCATGGAAACATCGGTGGTTCACTACCGAACAACCATGCCAGTGTATTTCAATAAAGTCCTATAATCGAAAAAAGGAAGATGCGGTACAGGAAGTGGGACCGATGGCTACTCTACCACAAACATCTGAGGTACGTACGCCTTCAACATTCAGACAACAACAGTGGCTACTGACACCGGTCAGCCACCAAAATGGGCTCAATGAAACGCTTGAAGTTACTGCTTTCAACTAAGGGTAGGATGATCAGTATCTTTGAATCCATTTCATAAAATTGTGATGAAATGTGGGTGTACTGACTGGCCGAGTAGTCAGATTACGTGCCGTTTGTGTTTGTGATTTTCTTACCACGATACAATGCCACATTCATTTCGATTGTCATCCCTGACCACTGAAATATTTTTCACGAATTTCTGAATCTTAAAGTTGGTCACATCAACCCTTTTGGTTTAGTTTCAAATGAGCTCGTTTCCCATACCAGTTTTTATTTAACTTGTAGGTAGGTCTCGACTGAAGCTCCAAGTGCTTCAGTTTTCCGGCCTGATAGGCGTTCATGATTGTGCGATGTCACACCGAAGGACGTGGCCTGCAGGCTGTTGTTACGTTGATTTCAGAGGGAAATTTTCATGAAGGAAGTAATGGCATTCCATACCAGAGAACTCTCGGCCGAAAATCGGCTTGTGTGAATAATGCCAAACGTCGATTGTTTCGGTCATTAACTCCTACCTCACATGATCTATACGGTCTGAGTGACCCTGACCAGCCTAGTGGTCAACTGGTCGGGTAGGCATTACAACTCTTCCGGGGCCCACAGTCCGTTTTGTTCAGGAGCTGACAACGAATGAATTTGATAACCTCATCTGACGTATCAGATCACGTTACCCCCGTTCTGATCGATACTGAGTTTCACTCAAAAAACGAGCGGTTCCTTGCATACCGTCCTTGCTGTTGTAAAGAACAAATGAATCACCATAAACGTTGATGGTATATTATTTGGATACTGATATCGAAGGCCTACTGATAGATCAAGATCTTACTCGTTTCCTTGATAGTTGCTCAGTCGCACAAACAGTGCTGATGAAGAAACTAAGAGAACGAAAGCCAAAATGTCGAATGACGGTGTCCTTTCGGTGTAATGTGTCATGCCATGCGTGGAACATGGAAGATATTGAATGTGTCGGTGGGATGGGGTGTTTTCCACATGGCGGAGTAATTAATAAAAACCGCATTTCCGACAGCCTTTGCGAATCAGCGACCAGATGATTTTTTCGCATCGTGATTGCACAGTCTGTTCGATACCTCCGGGGTGTTGTAAACCTCTTGTAATTGGCTCTTTTCTCAATCACTCTTAATGAGCAGTTTTTCCATCACAATTTAGCGAAAACAGGAACCACAACATGAGGTGATTTGTCGTCATGTGCGGTCACTATGGGTTGCCTTACTCTGTATTTCTGACTCTTCAGCACAATATATATCCCTTGGGGCACTTCTTTTTGACATTCTGGTATATCTCCTTCGATGGATGTTGGGTTTTTCCTCAAGGAGGGATTGCCCCTAGAGGAGATTTTCGAGCTGAATAAAGGATTCACAAATAGTTGTGCATTAGCACCCTCTCAGGTCTGGAATATATCCCACTGCGGACCTGAAGGAACCAAGCAAGGTAGCTGCGTTCGAGGATGATAGTTGACTTTCGAACATGCGTGGGTCATGTGTGGTTTTACATACCGGAACATCACCGTTCACCCTTTTATGGTGTGGGTCTTTGACCAACCTCGTTTTCTGTGTCTTGAACTTCCTTTCTTTGTTTTAGCTACTGGTGCGACGCCACCACATTTGACTTGCATCCACCTGTTCGTTGCGGCGTATTTTCATGAGCCGAAAGGGCGCTGACCAATCCGCGTTACATTCGCCAAATGCATGGGAAAACGCCGATTTGGGATCGCAAGAACGAAACGAAAAGTTTCTCCGACTTATGGGTGGCGTGAAGCAGCGCGAGCACAAAGGGAACATCGTCATAGGAGACAACTCTGGAGTCCCGCACAATATCAGCAAACCTGAACGAGCTCGAATCGATAAGGATTTAGAAGCGCAATTCTCGGAGGGAATCGATCGCCGGCTGACTGCATCTAGTCAGCATAAGGGACTAGGTTCAGGTTCAAGTGAGTCATCGACTCTCCCGTTTCCCATAAATGATGAACAATTTTCTTGAGTTCTGTGGAATCACGACAAGCTGGTTCCATCTACTGCAAAATTTTATAGCTGCCTTTGGATCTAAGTATCTCTGTGGTGCAGGCTTTCCGTTTTTTTATTTCCTCAAAAGTGATGCGTTCATTGCGGGTGTTGCACTCTAAAACACTGAATTCTGGGCTGCGATCATTTGTTTGATTTGAATCTTCATTTTTTATCGGTCGGAAACTTGGGGCCGCTTAGACCAAATACTCTTCTCGTTTTTTCTGTTTTTCAAGTATAACAGCTCACTAGATATCAAGTTTCGGTGCCCCAGTTAACTCAGAAGTCTGTTCACTGTTCCGATATTACTTGTTTTCAACTCGTTTTTCCAAACTTTTTTTCAGCGCCGAGGCTCCGCATTTCATGAACAGAGATATGCTGACAGAACAAGAGCGGATTTTCGTAGCTGAACATAATGAGCTCAATGTGTGCTAGAGACCATTTTACATGTCTGGTGGCCTGTTTGGCACTACGTTGTCCTTCGCCTCTGTTAGGTTTGTCCCGAATATTGGCTATGCAGGAAGTTTGATTGTATTCTATAGGCGCTAGCAATAAAAGATAACTAAATCGTTCAGCTGTAGCATCCTTTCGGTGCCTAGCTGCCATGCCATCAGAAGGAAGCACGAGGGCCGCCCAAGCCTAGACAAGGGAAGTAGAGAGGCAGAAGTTGGGTTCGAACCACGGACCTTCCGGTCAGTAAATTCGCGCTCTAACCACTTGGGCCATCTCGCCCCACACAAGCGATAGGGACCTTATGGATTGTATATTGGACGACATACCGTAATGCTACTCAATTTCCTTCAATAGTTTAGCATTCTTTTCATGCTAAGATGGTTTATTAATCCACTTTTTAGTACGATCTGACGGTTTTGATGGAAGCATAAAGACTTCATCTCAAGCTAAGAAGACTTGGGAGGAAGGTTGTGCAGTGCTTCTGGTTTTGTGGCAGAGGTACCCTAAGTTGATCTCAAGTCATCTTTGGGCTTCTATCGAGGCACAGAGATCTTTGTCCAGTCACTACAAATTTTAGCGTGACATCTTGTTAGAAAGCTGGGATCTGTTAACACGGAATAGATATAGAGCCGTCCATTAACTTCGCCTATTGTACACGGTCAGATGAAAGACGAAATTGATTTGTAATGCAGAACGTCTTCTAACGGTGTGAAGTGCTCCGTATTGGAAACACCAGACTCTTTGTTGAGCCCATAACCTCACAAGTCCATGTAGTACACTGTGTTCTGTTAGTTGATGGATTATGTTTATCAGCTGGGCGTGCCTTGAAACAATAAGCTGGATAAATCATTACAATATCATGTGGTTTGCCGTCGTGCTAATTTGAATAAGCTTAACTATATGCCCAGATGGAGACAGAACTGAACAAACAGACGACAGGAATAAGACCAAACTGACCAAAAAGGGTTGTTTTTCCACAGTTTTTAAAACCTGTCCGGTATGCTTCAGGAAGAGGTTGTATTAGCGAGTAGCAGGGTGTCCGATGATAGAGAAAGTGATAACAGATGATACTTGCAGTGACCATCCCAATTAGAAATGCACTGGAGTGAAGACGGGTACAGTTTAGATATCTTCATAGAGAAAGTAACTGCTGCAGTCTCAACACTCAACGGTCGGTTCAGGACCTAGTGAAATACCATGGCTTGACGCACCATATCCACGGAAAGATAAGACGAATGGAACAGTTCCCCAGCTGAGCATTAGATAAACTAAGGATGGGTACTGAGTGCTTTCACGCATCTTTTTCATCCTTCATTTCTGTTGCACGTCGTTTCACTTGTTACGTATCTTCAGTTGCGTGTGCCAACCCATCACATCGTTTCCTATTTAATGAAAACTGTGTTGGCTTTTTTATGCTGCTCATGTAGAGCTTCAGCAAATGCACCTCCAAGGCACAATGCCACTGTTCGAAATCACCTTTGGCTTTTCCATTGCTCCTCTACAAGATTGGGCAATCCGGCAGTATCGGAGCCCTCATACCTTCTTCGAGTCGCACGGTAGCTACGCATCGATAGCCGAACAGTCACTTTTCTGTGTGTGTGCGTTTATGTTTGTGATTGTAAGATCCGGACAGTTATGGATCTCACAGGACGATTGCGACTATTGGATTATACGCAGTTCGCAGCCAGTAGTCAATAGGAGCAGACGGACGTGGGGCAGCAGATGATATATTGAGGACTGACAGGAACTGGTTCTACAGACAAACGGATTAGTAAGCATCATGAATTAAGAAAACGTACAATCAACAATGATGCAATCAGCAGGAGCGGGAAGTAGTCACTGACGCAGCACGGATTCCTATAGGGGCAACAGCAAGTAAGTACCAAACAATGTACAGACATACATATAGGGCAGTCTGACAGTGTTAATTGGCCGTAACGGCGCAGGAGTCAGTACGTTCGGGATGTGAGGGACTGTCCTTCGGTCGGCGTCGACGCAGCCGTTCGTGTCACGTGACAGGTCAGATTGCGGGGTTTCATCCTTTTAAAACAAAGCTCAGCAAGGGTTATCTGGCAGGCGCGATACATGGGTAAAACAAGATAATCAACGCCGTAGGCGTCAGGTTGGTGTGGTCGGTAGCACGTTCGCCTGCCGTCCGGAGGATCCGGGTTAGGTACCCGGTCAGCTCGCTTTCCCGTCGGAGTGGGCGCTCAAAAAATAGGTGCAATCGAGGCGAACTTGCAGGCAATGACAGACGGGCAACAATTATTGACATCACTTACTGAGGGATAAGCAAGACCTTAAGTAGAAACAAAGCGGGGGAAAAACGAGCAGCAAGAAAACGAAACGGCGTCATAATAAATAGGTGTAAGTCATGTTACTCATGAGTAGTCAGCGTTGATTCACAGGGGGAATCAACAGTGATGTTATTAACCACCACGTTTCTTCTTGCTATTCTCTACATAGGGTCCACGGATTTCTCCCAACCCTTCCATATGGAAACCGAAAAACAGGATGCCAAAAAACACTACCTATCGTCTTTTGTGCCTGCACGTAACCCGGACTCTTGATTTGAATCGAATTTTATACATATATAATTCTTCCTTCACCAATTGGCGGTTAATACATAAAACCTTATGTAAACTTGCTTCCGTTTTCCCTTTGATTGGACACAATTCTCCATGAAAATCCACTAGATAGCTGGTACGGTTGTGATTTACCAGCAAGAACGAAAAAGGCAGACTCCATCGTTCATTTGGGCGATTGTCTCTAACATTGCTCCGGATGAGTATCTCCAGGGTTCGCGCTTTTCACAGTATCGATTCTTCAGTTTCTATTTTGAAAGTATTCACGTTTATTGGAGTTCTGGTATAAAGTGTGATGGTTTCGCAATTTACGAACTGTACGACGTGCTTGCAACAGATTTCTGACGTTTGTTTTAATAGCAGTCGCTTTAACTACGCGGGGTTTCCGCTTAATTCCAGATTTATTCATTATGTGTGGATATTGTAGACCTTAAATTGGTATTGTGTGTTGCCTGTGCATCGTACCTCACAAGTCAACTTGCCTCAGAATGCAAAACTAGGTGAGTGGCTGAATATGTTTGGTCAATTCATCATCATCATCGACAGCATGACATCAGTGTTCAACACCGATGCTTTACTGCCGTACAACCATGATTTATTTGAAAGCCTTATTTTTAAAAAAAAGAGTAAAGGTGGATGGGGAAAAGACTTAGTGCTAGCTTACCACGATCATTCCGGGGTGTCTATACCTCCAGACACTCACTCAGGCGATCTGGATAGAAACTGACAACAAGAACGCCACTGACATCGGTTGGCAGCCATATCTTATAGTGTCTCCAACCAGGCACAATGAGGATCACGTGATCAATTGTGGCACGCCGTCTTTGCTCGAAAGTTGTGGCCAACTGGTCGCCCTTGAACCACAGTCTAATGAGAACCTCTCTTCTGCACTGTATATGCTTGCTCCTGTTGTGGTCTCCGTCTGATTTAGATGGCAATAACTATTGACACTTGACAACTTTAAGAATTCTTCCTCCTGCAGGGAATCAGAACTACGTACTCATCTGATACACTCGAACAAAGTTTGAAGCGGATCTCTTTCAAGAGCCACTGGATTAGAACAAGATAATAAGTAGATACTGACCAGTGTACATCGAATTACGATACAATGAGCTTCTGCATGTGCCATCTGCGTGTTCGATAATGCAAAAGCATCTAAGAACATTAGCACCACTGATTTTTGTCTCGGGAGATATGGGCAAATGTATTGCCAGTGTTTTTATGACTGCCTCTATGGTTGAGGAATTCGGTGAACGTTGCGGGTAATATGCAGTGCGATAGATTTCTTTCTGTGCAGAGTGTTGCCGTATGCGCGGCTTACGAATCTCGAACGCTGGAACTGCCTCAGTAATTTGAGCCACTAAGAAGAGATCCCTGTTTCCCAACGGATGCGTATATCAGACTGCATTGCGATCTGTACTGTTGCACTTGACCATTTCGGACGTAAAATCTGAGACGTATTCAGGTCTTTGAGAGTTCGTGCCTCAGAACTATTGCTGTAATCGGCTGAAGAAATGAATATCGAGTGAGGTGTTCAGCAGACGTTGTTTCACTTAAAGAATGCATCCAGTATTGCAAGCTAAGGTGGCTGGGTCGTGTTACACATGTCGGAGTTACTACCTGTCGAGACGAGCGCTGTTTTCTACGCCTCATTTGGAATGGCGGAAACCTTGAAATGTAAGGAATTTAACAGCTAAATGCTGTCCGGTACCCATTTAGATTGATTGGATGTGTAAGCACCTCGGATGTTTTGTTGTAGGCTAGCCCTAAGTACATGAATTTGCATGGCTGTACGGCAGTGAAGCACCAGTCTTCTTACGTGGTGTTGCTGTCAATGGTGATAAGTCTTTGCCGAGTTTGTATCGGTACGCTTTGTAGCTTTGTGGCATCTGGGCGCTTATGTAACCAATTACGCGTGCCACTTCAGATTGAATCGTGCGTAAGAAGGGGCGAAACCAGATAAACTTAATTGAAATATGATAGATTTGATTGGACAGCTGGAACCGCCTTGGGAGACATGTTGCGAATTGGCAATTGTGTCGGCTCTCTCACCTGTTCATAGTCCACTTATCTCTGCAAAAGATGTGATGTTTGTTGTCGCTTTTTAAGCCAACTGAAGGCAATAATGCAGTGTTCTCTCGACCGTTTTGCAATCTCCTGTCATCATTTAAATACGACTCAAATAAAACAGTTTTTCTCCGCGGTGGTCGCACACAAAGCGAAACGGTTATCGTAGCAACTCACTGTGGCGTGAATGATCTTTAAAATGAGCAGTGAGACTACGTCGAACTTAACAACATTTTGTAATATAGGTCCGTTGGACAGTGTGTCCAGCATAGGAGTGATCGTTCATGGAGTTCTGATGCACAAATAGGCTTCATGACGCGATTAAATTTCGCTGCGCGATTAATCGGAGAACCGATCATTTGGCCATAAAACCTTGAGTTTTTGAGGCAAGTTCGGTTGTGTGACATCCTTTAAGCTGTCTAGTTGTCCTTCAGTCAAGTATCTCTCTCATATTACTTGGTTATTCTGCCTGGAATAGTGACGTAACAATGTACATGGAATCGGTAACCACAAATGCGGTTATAGACTATGCGTATGGATACTTGAACATTCGGGTGAGGGTTACGGAAACGTGAACCATAATAGCGTCCTGACCCTTATCCAGTACCGGGCTTAAACAAAGCGAAATGTGTCTTCTTATACTGGCTCACGTCCTCGCCACAAGTGAAATCGATGAAAGACAAAAAAGTAGTGGGGACGACTGGCAAGTGATTCAAACATCGGATGAATAGAGAATGATCCAGACCTGCGGCTAACTCATGCTGCCAAGAGCAGCTGATTAATTCCATTCTTCCATTGCCGGCGTTCAAGTCCTCCCGCACACTACCGTGTTCTTCTACATGGTTGGAGCAGCTGTACGGTGCTCAACTTTTCGATATCGACTGACAGCTCGAGATGTCATTCCAAAAAGTATCCAAAAAACTCTCACTATCAAAACAAAATAAATCATACTAATAACCAATAGCTCAGTAGTCAGTGCCTTCTAACCTGGTCATCTATTTCTTCATTGCTCTTCTGATCCTTCTTCATGGGGGAACCACTGCGTAAAGGAGTGTATTTGCTAGCGAGGATTCACTGTGCGTAGAAGTATCTTTGACAGGTCGTAACGTCTGGAAACAAATCGTTCACTACAAGTCCCAGCGTTACAGATAAAATGCAAGCGCCGTCTTGACTTTCTCAGTTTCGACCTTACCGGCAGGCGTGTCATGAAACCATCTACTGTACTAATAGGGAAATTGAACGTTATTTGATCAGTAAGGATTGTGACCCATTATAATCCGAATTCATAAACTACCTGCGTGTCTTTAGAGTGGATTGTTGCGAAATCAACAAGAAACTGGGAAACGTACTTCACTGAAGAATAAGGCTAGCCCCGGACACCATACTCCAAGAGTTCCCAGTGGGTTGAATTAACAGTTACGTTTTGATCAGTCCATTACGTTCTTCGAAAACAAAATGTTAACAGCGGGAGATGTCCATCTCCCAGTTGTCTTGCTGGGCTGTATCGTTCTCCTGCTTGCACCTTTCGCAAAAAAGATGCAAGTGGGCGGTTCATTACTGATACGCACAAGAAAGTGAGAAGTGTTGCTTACAGCAGTTTGAACATATCGAATGAACTCTGAACAGAGGGCGTCACAATAAAACAGAAAAAATGAGTTTGTCCTCGGGGAGGTGTATGTGGGGTCTAACGTTAGTGTACCTTTTCAGAAGGTCCAGGAATCTGTTCGATTAGTGCAACTTATGCTGAACCCCCCTGGACATAACTTTCGGTCTTCTGTTTAAAGCACACTGCTCCGGTAAGCTTAGTCTCATCTGTGAGCTTAATCCGTGGGCTTTTGATTGTTTCTAGGGGCAAGTTATTCTTATACTTAGCTGGACAGCACATACGATCCCGGCAGGGGAATCGGGACCGGCTAGCTGACATCCGTCAGTCAGTCAGCGCTTAGCTTATGTTGGGGAAGTTTCGCTAAGAATACTGGGTCACTTTTGCTGCTGGAGTCTAACTCAGATACGATGTCCAGGAGCACGTATTTCAATGCCGTTTGGAGAAATGAACATTTTTCCTTGGCAATTTTTATCAAAAATAGTGGGACTTTGTTTTAGGTCCCTACCGAGGCTCTCTTTCCTTGCATGGTTGTGTTTGTCGCACTGTGTTACTCTTGATAACGACTTTACCTCCACTTGAATTTGAGATATTGTGACTAAATGCTCCAAGCTAACTGACATCAGCATGGTTACGAGTGTTCGAAACGAGGAATGGAGAAACTCCAGCTGAGTGTTTCACTTGGCAATTAAAGAGTATGTTCAAGGCATACCGAGTCGCAACGGTAGGGTTTGGGATCTTCGTCTAACATGTTTAAGGGTATTCAGCCAGGCACAGAGTGAAGATGACTCCATCGGTACGTTAGATTGTGGTCAAACTTACCATCTGGTGCCTGAAAATGTAGTGTTTCGTTGTATTTTCCAAAAGATCACGAAATCCGTGACCTTTCTTCGGGATAAAGTTGCCCCTCAGATAACATTGTTTTTGGCTTTATTTTAAAAATCTGGCTGCAAAAAAGTTCGGATATGTTGTTCATCCGCACTTCTTGGTCGCCTACTCTACTCGATTATTCAAACGAGGACCTGCTGCAAAAAAGTCACACCGGATCTCTTTCATTTTGAAGGCATGTGCTGCGATGTAAAAAGTTTTCTCATCAGATGTTTCAGTTAATTATTGCTAACGCAAGTAAATCACCTGGACAGCACGTAATCCTGTTGCCTAGGTGATTACTTCAATTTGATGCCTTGCCAGGGTCATCCACGTAGATTTCACAGTTGATCTAGGCCTAATGAGAATTTTTTGTCATCTAGGTGCATTTCTCGTGTAAAAAGGCAAATTTATGCCACTGCAGACTGGCCATAATGAACTGTCATAGCTCCTGAACCGTGGTTGACGCATTAGCGTTAGCACCCTTTCAGTGTCTAACTGCCATGCCACCCAAAGTTTGCACAAGAGCTGGGATACTGCCAGGTTGCTCAAGCCTAGACAGGGGAAGTCGAGATGCAGAGGTCGGCTTCGAACCACGGACCTTCGAACGTATACCTAGCAGTATATGTTATAAAGGAAGATTAGTTAGACTTCCCAGTATCGTTCAGTGGTGCACTTTGTCTGTCTTTCATAAATCTGGCTCTGGCGGTATAAGTCGAAATCCCGGCTACGTGCAAAATAGGTAAACTTTGACTGCTGGAAAGTAACGACATCACACTACACCCAATCACATTTCTCAATCTACTAGGCTGCACCGATGTATGTGTCATAGCTTGGCGCACTCAGGATTCACGTAAGATGAAAGCTAACCGGGCTGAGTGGCTTGCTAATCACAAATCAGGCCTTTTCACCTATTTTTGACCTCGCTTTCCATCAACACTTAAGTGTCCTTTTACAAATAACCTGTTGAAATTGAAATGAAAATTTTAGTCACTCCAAAACGTTGATCTAATTTGCTTAGGATTTCTCTCGACTGGTTATTGTGTCCTTCCCAATTATACGAATGATGTTTTGTGGGCTACAGCGTTTTCGAAATTTAAGATGTTTGATTAAAGTTGAAGGATTCACTTCTAAACACAACGGCTTGCCTTATGTAGTAACCAGTGGTCGTGCTCAATTGACGGGCAGATGTTATTTGCGGAAAAATGCTATCCCGTGGTGCTGCGAAACTTGTAGTTCACTTTTTCCTCCTGCTACTCTTATTCTGTGAGTAATGAGAAAAGATTTTTTCTGAAAAATGGGCGGTTTCACAAGGACTGGAGGTGTTGAAAAAGAGAGGGAAGCTCAAGAAGAATCTGATCTCTCAGCCGAAAAGACACAGAAGCTAACTCTATAGTTTTACGGTCGAAGCCGTGCTATTGAGGATGATTTGTGATTCTTATGCAGAGCCCCCCTAATTCATGACGTGCCAAAGAAATAAGCCTGTACTTTTTGTTCCATGCAGTGCTGGATGGCCGAACAAGAACAAAAATTGTTGAAAACTGCTGGAGGGTTTCGATGGTATGGGAAAGTCTTGTTATCGAGCGTGTCGTGGTCTGCGCATGTCGAAAATACCGTTTCCGCAGTACACTACTCCGCTTATTCAACGGTTTCCGGAATGCATAGCTTTCGCATTCCTCTTAAACATGACCACCTCTCTGTTACGATGAAATTCTTTTTTAGCCACGCTAGAAAGGAAGGATATTACGACAATTTTAGGTCTTCCAGATCGTACGCAGTAGTCCAGTTTCTGTTCAACGATAGGTTCGGGAATGAGTGAAAAAAATCGAAAAGCCATACGAACACATTAAACAGTATTGTGATAAACGGAAATGACACTGGTGAAATTCAGTGACCTACAACGCAGATATGATTATTTTGACGTGGAAAACCGAGAAATCGAGAAAGGATACCTAGGATCCCTAGTGTTTTAAGCTCTGCTTTTGCTTGTGGTCAGAGCACCCTACGAATTACGAAAAGAGGAAAAGGGACGACAAAGTCGGTGAAATCTGCGAAAATTTGTATGTTGATTGGCTAACATGCCCCATGCGACCTTCACCAAATTCGCGCACACACACAGCTACACGTGAGAACCGGTGAAACTCCAACATACCGTAAAGCAATGTAAACGAGTATGCACTTCTGAAGATGTGGCTGGATCACATGACGGAGTTAGTGCTTCAATTATAAAATATTCAGTGGCTGCCTTCGCCTAAAACAGTGCACGCAGTCTGATTTCTGTGGTCCTATAAAGTAAGTGAGGCTCGTGTAATATTCATTTCTCAAGTCAAAATTGAATTTTTGAGGAATTCGATCACTTTTACTGACAACACCCGGTTTAACAAGTGCTAGATGTTACTCATAGCAGTTAGCGCCCCAACAACACCGCGCGTCGTATGCAACATGGACCCATAGTTTGCATTATACTGGTTTGTGGAGAGCTTTGCGGGTGAATTTAATCGGTGTTTTACAACGTTTTGTCGCTGAAGCGATCCAACTGACATGAAATCTTCGCGTGATTTTCAGGTTACAAGGAACGGATGTGGCATGAGAGTTTGATGACCAAACAGGACGTAAAAATATCAATTCAGATAACCAATTTAAAAAAAAGCCGATTAAGTGGCCCAAAAGGTCAATAAAAACATAAATTTGGGTTTGCAATCCTGCAAATTTGATATGTTCAAACCACAACAGTGCACAAAACCCTTATAAGACCACCTTATGTTTTCCGATTCTCCCTGGGCTCCCTCGAAAGAGCGACTAACAATTTTGAAAGATAAACGATCCGCGGATATTGCTTGAAATATCTCGAAGCTATGGAGGAGAATGCGTGTGTTTAGACTGCAGCAAATAACCTACTTTTAATGCCACACTGGGAAGGCCTCCAGAACAGATAAAGTTTACCCATAAATATACCAGTTGTTTTCTTTATGATCATGTTTTTTGTCATACTGTGGACCATTCGCATAGTATAACTACATAGAACTTAGCACTTGCTATTCTTGTCACGATGTCCCGGATCTCCTGAATAGATGTAAGATTCAGAGTATGGGCTGACCGATTCAACACTCGAATCCCCCGGAGACTTCACGTGACAGATAGAATGTGTTAATGTTTGGACCACGCCAGGATATGCAATGCAGAAGAATACTGTCAAGGTTCTTGTTGCCTAAGATCAACTTACTATACCTGCTCGACAACTTTTGACTTGAAATATTGGAGAAGAAAAGAGGCACAGTTATTTTAAACAAATAAGATGCGATGTCTACATTCCCGATTACACTTTTTGTTTATTCATTGCCTTATGCTTGAGCGGTGACGAAGTGTTTTACACATTTACACGCACAACACGTTTTGCAATCAGGTCATCAGTTGTTTTGCCATCAATACGCAAATGTGCTAGCCCAGTAACTTCTGGAAGCCAAATTCACTGTCTGTATTACATACTGGTGGTGGGGCCTCTTTCATGCTATCGGCTACCGTAGTCTTGTTATCTTGAAGAATGTCCTGAATGGAAGTAGTGCATTAATCATAAGGTTGATGAAAGCTTTTTAACAGCCTACAACCGCTTTCGCGCTTCCTGAGGCTCATTTGGTAGGCGCAGTATTCGAGTTTCCGTCAACCTTATGTTCTAGTTTAATCCAAATCGCACTGAATTAGGGAAATGCACCCATTTGCATACCAGTTTGGTTTAGACGGGAGACTCACCTGGAACCCAGCCGAATCATACGTTTTATGATGCATTTGAGCAACTGAATGTGCTGCACTAGGTCGCCACATGTCTCATTTGGCACGATATCCGAGATATCGCGATACTTTGTACAGGCGTAATTCACTCCACATAAGGTTTCTGAAAGCTTTTCGACAGCCGCTTTCGCCCTTCCTAGGGCTCATCAGGTAGGCGCCCTTCAAACGAGAGGTTCAACTGTGTTTCAGGTGAGTGCCAAAAGCAAATTAGTATACAAATGAGTGTATTTCGCTAATATCCTGGGTGATTTAGATGGGAACCATGCACTACCGTTATCCTGTTGACTCTTTTTGTTGCCATTTCATCTTCGTCCAGTCCTAAACCGCAGTAAGGTTCTACTTGTTCTTGTTCTAACGCCGGATGGCTGAATCATATGACAATCTGTGCTGAATTAAATGATTGAGCAGCAGATTGTTTTGGCCCATACGTATGTGACAAACATCGCTTCATGTCACAAGTAGTATCTAGCACTGTACTAAAAAGAACGTGAATTTATTTGTATCAGGAAAGTAACTATCATTGCATGTTATTGGGTATAAGGTGATATTGGGAAGGATGATACTGTAAATAGAATGGTTAAATTGGGCGGTTGTTGTGAATCCAAGCGTAAGGCGGTACTGATAGCATAGTAGTGATGCATGTTCCAAATTTTCCAGAAAGACTTGATAGAGGGCCTTATACGAATCTAGTGCACTACAGTACCTTTTTAGATCTTTTTGAGTCCTGAAGAGAGCCAAAATCCTAGAGTCAAACAGGATATCTTTGCCATCACCTTTAAATTTTGATCCCATCTTTCAAGACAGTAATCTAGCGGGGAGGGGTTAAGATAAGTTAGTGACTTGTTTTATGGCTCCCCACAAAATCCCAAATAAACAAGTCTCTTGAAAAAGGCATCCTGTCTTCCAGAGTATCAAAAGATTTCAGGATGTGACGGCTCATGGTGGCGCCTATCCTATTATGTGGTTATATTTGTAACAGTAGAAAATGGCCATTAGTGAGTTCATCTTTTAGCACTAGAGCGACATGCTTAGATCAAATTCCCTCATTTACTTGATCGTACACATCGCATTGTCTCCATCCACAAAGCATTGGAAAGTGCAGTTCTTTGCGCACATATACAATGCCTAGTTTGTGTAGTTCATCGATAGACCACTCTGTTGAGACGGAACGGAAGATTTATGTGATCCTCCCGTTCTCACCAACTCAATGGACCCTTTCGGATAGCCCTGTGTTCATGGTGCGCGCCAGGGTTTAAGGGCTGAGGGACAGAAACACAAAGCTTGCCTAGAGACAGTACTAGTGCTGTCAAGCAGTGAAGTAGGATTACCACGGCATCAAATATATATATATATATATATATATATATACTCTCACTAGATGACTTCAAAGCATTATTTGGTGGGATGACAACTGTGAGCATATGAAGGGTCATTAGGTTGACCTAGAATAATTGTAGAGATCTTCCGGCGAGTGAAGTTTGGAAGGAAATTGCTCTACTAATTTGGTGAAAGGCATTCGTTTTCGGATCAAGTTGCTGCCACTGGGGACTCTAATTGGCCCCAGCTGAATCAGTCGTTTATCATATTCTCATGAGTGGTCTTTTCCACCAAGAAAACATACTGAGATACCTTGAATATATTACAAATGTGAGACACCCTTCGTGCAGGACATTCATTTGGAGAATATCATAAAGGAAGAATTCGGCTGAGTCCCCCGGTGGCGGTAATTCGCCAACGGCAAACAGTTTAGGGTTCGGATAGAGCATAAATTTGACAGAAACCCTGGAGCTACACCTACCTGGTGAGCCCGAAGAAAGATGAAACTATTGGTGATATGTTGAAGAGTTTTCTGCAACCTTAGGAGTGGTGTGTGCCTTCACTTTCTTGCTCAAACAATTCCAAATATAGAGCTTGTTCCCTCTTTAAAGGATCAGGTGCGTTTGGCAGTGTTTATTATGACATTTGTAGCTGCTGATGATCAAGCTGTTAACAAGTTGGAGAACGGGGATTCGGGTTCTACCTTCAATGAAGCGGGTTCTTCTGTTATTGGACAGATATTCACTACTGAACTGAACTCGCTGGAATAAGACAAGTTTGATGGTTCTGATTGCTAACGCTTCAAACTTACGGCAATTGGGTAGTACGTGGCTTCCGGTTGCAATGAAAATATACCACCACTCTCTACATTACCGAAAGTCTAAACCTACTCTCTTGTCATCCTGCTCAAGTGTCTATAGAGGTAGACAAAACTTCTCTACCCATCAAAATAGCATACAACGTGAATGGTCTCCAGTGTGATTTTGCAATGGGCCACATCACGGCGACGGGGCAGAAGTGTGTGTGCCCCAGAATGTTTGCATTCCTAATCTTACATATGTGGTGAGTTCTCTTATCCAAGTGGTGTCCGCAAGTCACCGGGAATCGGACGTGGTCCATTGCTGAGCTGCAAGATTGTCGCGAACACTGAGAACGCAGAACACTTCCTCGTCAGTCACTTGGTCACTACGGTTTTTAGTTCACTGGATCACGTTGGAATGACCGTCAGTCTCATCCACAATGTTCTTCGTCAAGGGAGCTTTAAGGCTTAACGAACAATTTTACGAGACTGAGCGTCAGCGTAATACAGTATCCCCACCAGTAAAAAATAGACCGTTCACAACTTCCGGATCGCCATAAAATTATAATTGGCCTAAATATTTCTCACCGTATAGCGACAGGAAAGTGCAATGTTCCAGTTACGGCTAAGATGTAAATTGGAGCTAGCTACGAAGTGAAACACGCAGTTTGGTTATTTCTTGCATATAAAAACTGTATACAGATCGATAAACGCGTGTAACACGTGTAACATGGGCCGACAAATTGTCGTTTGAACAATACAGTACCAGCAGCACACAGTGTTGGAATTTCTAAAACCAGTGATAAATTTGCCTGCCTTTTTTTAAAGCGGTAAACTTCAGGTGATACTAGACCGGAGCAGCAAGTGTGATTGTCGTCAATCTACGTTTGTCACCAGGAAATCCAGCTGGCACTTCACATTACGTAATAGTGCCAACACCCACCTTCATCGCTGACCAGCTGGTAATACACCTCGAATTGTCCATTATAGTTTAGCTATCGTTTGCAATGAGTTTTCGAAGTAATTTTATAGATAACCTGATACAGAATGCAAAAAGCTAAAGGGCCATGGAGGTTAAACTTTTAGTATGTAAATAGACGTATTTTCTAATCACTCAGTAGTTAGATCAGACTTGTAAGAAAATGATTAAATGCTCGATCACCTGTACATTCATGTCTGATCGGATTATTACGTGACCGGCGTCAGAATTAGCGAACGAAGTGTTGCTCGAAACGTGAATGGACTCAGCACACTACAATAGGTCAGGGAAATTCGGCACACATTCGCGAAAGTTATCAGGCGAGACTGATGATAACAACACCTCAGCAAATAAAGTGTTCAGAGATAGAAATAAATCTTTGGAAACACTCCACGCTCGCAATATATGAGG